CAAACACTGGCCATTATAGAGTGGGACGATGGATGTTCCTTTCAAATTACTGAAGATACTGAGTGTGCCTGACCTTGCTAGGAATCCCTAATGGCTGCAAACATTTTCTGTGCAGATGCAGTAGTAACAGGTCTTGGAATGTCACAGATACCTACCTTTCAGCACTGAATCTGAAGTCCCTTCCAGGGAAACAGAAATGGCCCAAGGCTCTGATGGCAGCCCCAAGGACTCTACTCTCCGATTCTAAGAACAGGGGGGGCAAAAACAAAACACAGTCAAAGTTTGATTCAGAAGAGAATCTGTGAAAATATCTATAAAAGAAGAGAATTTAGAATAGAATCTTGCATAAAGCACAAATTCAGTACAAACAAGCAAAGGAAGAAAAATTATAAATAAGCATTTTCTTTCTCATGTTAAGCATATATCATGATTAGCATATTGAGAGAAGAGAAGGGATCTTATTACAGAAAAAGTTGAAGCAGGGCAGTGAAGAGGAGGAAGGAAAGCCATGTCTGTAGGAGAGGACAGTGCATTCTGTGCTGACGGTTACTAAGGAAGGCAAGGTCAAGAGAAGAAAGCGGGAGAGAAATGGGTGAGATCAAAGTGCAGGTTTGCAAATTCGAACTTCAGTCCTGTGGCCTCTGTCCCTCTGCATACATGTCAGGGGATGCATTTTAAAAGTAAAGAGTGAAAAGCAGATTTAATTGGTTTATTTCACTTTATTTTCTTCCATAACTTTAGTAAATACAGAAAAGATAAAATAGAAACAGAGGGCATGGCCATTGAAATTAGAATTAGAATTAAGCAGTGAAACCTCTTGTTAATGATTTGCTTAACCACCTGTGAGAGAAATCATTTAAAATAACATAAAACTGGAAAACAATAAAAATTTAAAAAATCCTACAAAACTATAATGCAGATGTGATGGCATGAATTCCCTCATTAGCATATGAAATGACTTCTTCAGATATAGTTCTACCTCTTTGAGAAGGTCAGATTTCCGAGAAGATACTAGATATCTACTTCAAGAATTTGCTTGGGGAGGAAAATTATCCAAATTTTATTTTTACTCTTAATCAAAATGAAGCAGAAGGAAAGCAGGCCATGAAGTGGAAGGAGGATGACAGAAGTCACGAGAAGTTCTAAGTGCAGCAAATGTCACCCAGGGGGCACTCTGTAAGTATGTACCATGACAATGGAATCTGCACTGAGTACATGCTACCCAGCTTTAAGGATCACCCGTGAACAAGTTACCTGCTTATCCAGAAAAATGAGCTGTGGTTGTACTGGAAGTTCTTTCCCCACTTCTCCATCTGAAGGCTGGACTAGGACTGAAAGAGCATAGGGCCGAACATATATCGAGTTCCCAGTTTTAAAATTGCTTTTATTTCTGGCACATGTAAAACAAAATGGAATAAAGCCATAAGCTTACAAATATTACTGTAGTAGCTATTTGCCATAATCCATTATTAGCAGTGAAAATATCTGCCTTTGAATCTAGAAAATAATACACTTTGTAGTGAACATTACATTGTAACTGAAGAATAATTATATTTTTATTTAACACTAGAGGCCTGGTGCTCGAATTCAATGGGGGCCGATTGGGTTGGGTCGGTGGGGGGAGGGGATGCGGGAGGTTGGACACCCCCGCCCCTATAGGGGGTTGCCAATCAGGAACGGGGACAGCAGGGGTCGGGGGAGGGGGGACACAGGCGGTGTGCGTCATAGCGACCAGTCTTTCTGGTCATTCTAGTCAATCTGTAGTTCTGGTTGCTTGGCTTTTATATATGTAAATTTTTGCTAAGCCATGGTAAAGAATGGACTGGGTGTGAGGGGGTGGGGGCAGAAGCGCTAATTATGAACTTATATTTTTATCACAGTTTAATGATATAAGCCCCACAAAGACCCCAGTGAAGGAATTTAGCAGATTATAAGACTTAGACAGTGGGGATGTGTTCAGTGGTATGCCAGTGAACCAGCTCTCCCCTCAAAGACCCTGATGCCTAGTGTTTTCCAGTTCCCATGGTATGAATAGTTTCTCCATGGCTGATTCTGGTACCACGATGACATCATTGGGAGCTGAGAGGAGATGCCTGAGAGCAAAGCCCCAGCACAGCTGTTAGACATGGAATAGCTAATTTAGTCCTCACAACAGCCCTTCCATACTTGTCATCTCCATACTGTGCTTGCACTAAATAGGTTAAATAACCATGGAATTAACTGATTTTTTAAAATTTTAATGAATGAAGCCTTTGGGGAGAATAATACTCATAATTAATATATGCTGAGTACTGTGTACCAGGTACTATTCTAAGCTTTCCTTGAATAAACTCATCGCATCTTTAAAATGACACTATGAGGTAGGTACCCTTATTTATACATGAAGAAACTGAGGTCCAAAAGGACTAAAGCAGTGGTTCTCAACCTGTGGGTCGCGACTCCTTTGTCAGTCAAACTACCCTTTCACAGGGGTCGCCTAAGACCATACTGCATATCAGATATTTACATTACGATTCATAACAGTAGCAACATTACAGTTATGAAATAGCAAGGAAAATAATTTTATGGTTGGGTAACAACATGAGGAACTGTATTTAAAGGGCCAGAAGGTTGAGAGCCACTGGACTAAAGTAACCTGCCAAAGGTCTTACAAATAGTACGTGCATGACCAAGGTCTAGAGCAATTTACCAATGAGTTATATTGTTTCTCACCCCTTTCAGGCACATTAATTGCTGATGTGACTTAGCAATAAAATAGAATAAATAAAATAAAATGGTTATATAATTCATGATACCTTAAAACATGTTTTCCCAACAGCTTTGGTATTTTTGATGACCAAGATAGCTTTATTAAAAGAACATTATAGCCCTGGCCAGTGTGGCTCATTTGGTTAAGTGTCATCCCATGCACCAAAAGGTCACCTGTTTGATTACCAGTCAGGGCATATACCCAGGTTGCCTGCTCGATCCCCAGTAGAAAGCATGCAGGAAGCAGCTGATTGATGCTTCTCTCTTATCGATGTTTCTCTTTCCCTCTCTCTTTCTCTCTCTCTCTCAAATTAATAAAAACATTTAAGAAAAAACTATTATAGATTATATATCTTCTAGAAGCCCAATACATGGGATTCGTGCACTTGTTGGGGCATGGCCTGCAGGGATAGGCCTGCTGTGGGAGCAGTGCTCATCCCCAAGTGACTGTGGACCCACCCTCTGAGTGGGTGCTCCTGCTCTGGGAGCGCACTGACCACAAGGGGGCAGCTCCTGTGTTGAGCGTCTGTCCCCTGTTGGTCAGTGTATGTTATAGTGATTGATCGACCGGTCATTCTGGTCGTTCCGCCCTTTGGTTGCTGGGCTTTTATTATTTAGGATCAACCTATTATGTACTATACATCATAGGCATATAAATGGAAATTAAATGGAAATCTAAAAACTGGTCGTTCCGCCCTTCGGTTGCTGGGCTTTTATTATTTAGGATCAAGCCTATTATGTACTATACATCATAGGCATGTAACAGATTTTTAGAAATTAAATGGAAATCTAAAAGATAAACATCATATATCACATATATTACCCTAATATAGAACATCCCATAGTGACTTATCCTCTATACAACTTAAGTCAAGTCTAACAAAAAAAGATTTGATTTTTTTTAAAAAAGTAGCTTATCCTGCCATCAATTGAATGCTTGAATCAGATACTTTATTCCCAATCTTTTATTTTAATTTGTGTATGTATGTGAGGAGAAAAGAATAAAATATTCATTTGGCATGGAAGGCGTATGTCAGATAAAAGTGACAATAGACCCTAGAAAGAGGAAATACAGTGGATCATGAACTATGAAGTTTCTGTAGGAAGCAATTTCCCTCCCCCCGAGAATTCTGGGATATGGGGCAGAGTAGTCTTAAGAGCCCCCTTTGGTCATCTCCCAGCTAAGGCTCTGACCTGTGCTACAGTCGCTCATTGGAAATTGAACATACAATAGCCCCATCACCATTTATTAGTTTGCTTAACCTGAGTGGGCAAGGCCCCCTTTTAATTTTTGTAAAAGGAATAATTTAAAACAGATATAAAAAAATCTATGCTCTTAAAAAAATTAATTCTATTCTTCTATGGGTCCCAGGTTATTGGAAAATTCTAACATTGTTACCAGCTCCTATTTCTCCCCTAACCTAGTTCTTAAATGCTTTCAGGTGCGGGACAGAATTTAGGCCAGCAGCGTGGGCTAAAGAAACTGAAAGGCTCCGTCAAAGATCCTGACACAAGAACACTGATGTCTGCAGACGAAGGGATGGGAACCAACTGCCTGAACACCCGCTGAAAGGCCTGCCCCTGACACACTTTAAAGTTTATTGTGAGCAAACATCTCTTATTAAATGTAAACAGCATCTCACTGGAGGTCAGAGACTTGCTGCTACAGCATATCCCAAGGTAATACCACTTTAAGCTCCACATAAACTCTTAAGCAGTTTCTATCCTAAAACCTGACCGTAGGTGGTACAGTTTTTTACGATATGTTATAATAGTGCAATAAATCTGTTAGCTTAAAATCGAATCTCCGTGGCCTTTTAGAGAAATCATCATTAAATGCAGGGTCCTGTTAATGATGCCATCGAAGTGAAATTGTTTAATCTGCTAAGGGGGTGAAAGGTCACCAAATGAATTTTTTATAATACATCAACTTGACACGCAATAGGGAAAACTGTAATAGATAAAAGCAAAGGAAAAGGGCACTGTCTTCTTCTGATAGGTCAATAGCAGCCAAGAGAGTCACTCATCCACTTTCCTTTCACGATGGGGCTCCTTTTGCATTTAATATGGACACCCAATTAATACCTCAGCACCACAGACAACCTCATTTTAGGTGACTTATAGCAATTTCTCCCCCTTCCCTGAAATGAAAGTGATCACAATACATCATAGCATTGTGCGAATTAACGTTAATTGATTCAAGTTACCAAGCAATGATGGGCCACTTATATAATCTAGGCGTTATTGGGTGCTAGAAGGGATGGAGGGAAGATTAGATTCCAGTGTCCGTTGCTGTGACGACGGGAGTCACCTGACACCTTGTTAGACAGTTGTAAGGTTCTATTGCTGGCCCCAGTGGGGTCGTCAGTAAACTGGAGTGATGTCCAAACATCATTATACGCTGCTCCGATATTAAAGCAAAGGGATTAGCAACTTATTGCAAGCAACCTGGATTTGTCATTGTGCTGTCCTTATCCAATTTCCAACCACTAATGTGACTGTAGCCTGCGGGCAGAAAGACCTACAGCCAAACTTTAAAAAATGGGGGAGGAAAGTTCCCTCCAACCCTCCTAGTTCTAACCACTAGTTAACAGCTTCCAACACCCAGTCAAGTGTGTGAAAGAATCCCCCGACCCCTTTCAAGGCTCAGTGTAAACTAAAAGAAAGATAAAGAGAATTCAGAAATTTCCCAGTTCAGAAATCACCACTATGCATCTCAACCCTTGCTTTTCAATTTGCCAGATCCGAACTGCTTACCCTCTAATGGGGGTAGGAGTGGGAGGTTATTTATATTTGCATGACAAATCCAGTAAATAAATAAATCCTATTGGTGAAAGCTGGCTCTGGGCAAGACCTAAGGTGCAGGCATGGGGGGGGCGGGGGTGAGGGGGTAGAGATACTTCCTCACTCCCTTTGCCTCTTCAATATTACTAAATCAGGTTCCTATAAAAGAGCCCCATGTTTTAATGAAGTGTGTCAGGGTGTCCTGAGCATTTCCATCATTTTTTAAAATTATGCCACTAAAACCCCCACAAAATTTAAAATCTATGAATTGCTTATTTATGGAATTCTTTATTAAATATTTTGGACCAGGATTGACCACGGTTAACTGAAACCTCAGAAAGCAAAACCATGAATGAGAGGGGACTACTGCATTTTATAATCCTTATGTTCCCTATCAAACCTAGCTAGATGCCCTTAGCTGCTGTGAACCTCTGAGAGAGAAGAAATGTTTTATGATCCCAGTGTTTCCTTCCTGCACGATAGCATAGTGGTTCTAGACCTGGCACATTGCAAGCACCCAATACATATTACTATAGTAACCCCAGGACAGATCAGTACCCACCATGCACTACTTCTGCTCTTAGGTCATTAAACACCTCTGGAAAGCCACTACCTATCTTGGCCTGGCTAACTTCAAGTTTTGGCACACTCCTCAGGTGGTGTGCTTATTGATATGTTCTAACACCTATTATTAAATTCTTGATGGTCTTTGGAATTATTCAATTTAAATCGAGATTTGAGATTTGAGTAACCCTAGGTGGAGGTTGCAGTGTGCCAGGGTATGTATAGACACAGAGTAAACACAGCATGTCTTCCCACAAGGTCAAATCAGAGGTCAAAGCCTAAGTATTTTAGTTA